GCTAGGCGAGAACAAATGTTCCCACTTGTGATATGTTTTTTAGCGATTCACGTGCGTTTCTGTGTGTCGCACATAGGGCAGCCCCATCACTTGAATTTGCCACGTTCAGAGCAGCAAAGAAGCTCATGGATCAAATTTTGGCCCTGAGCCAGGTGCGCTTTTATACGTATGTTTTTCCGCACGACAATGACAGCAAAATTGTACCATGTTTGGGATGCCATTGAGGATGAATGGCACCCATACGTACACCGTGCGTTTTGCCGTGATTTTAGAGCGATTTGGAGTGATGGGAAGAATTGCCACAATTCTGCCTGTGATTCCAAATCGCTAAGTGTGAATGAGGCCTCCGTTTCGTTGAGTTTTATTATGCTACGACAATAAATTGTTTTATCTTTCTTATATCAAGGACTAAGCGGCAAAACCCCAAGGACTAAGCCGCAAAACCCCAAGGACTAAGCGGCAAAACCCCAAGGACTAAGCGGCAAAACCCCAAGGACTAAGCTGCAAAATACCCCAAGGACTAAGCGGCAAAACCCCAAGGACTAAGCCGCAAAATACCCCAAGGACTAAGCCGCAAAATACCCCAAGGACTAAGCGGCAAAACCCCAAGGACTAAGCCACAAAATACCCCAAGGACTAAGCCGCAAAACCCCAAGGACTAAGCCGCAAAACCCCAAGGACTAAGCGGCAAAACCCCAAGGACTAAGCCGCAAAATACCCCAAGGACTAAGCGGCAAAACCCCAAGGACTAAGCCGCAAAATACCCCAAGGACTAAGCCGCAAAACCCCAAGGACTAGGCCGCAAAATACCCCAAGGACTAAGCCGCAAAACCCCAAGGACTAAGCCGCAAAATACCCCAAGGACTAAGCCGCAAAACCCCAAGGACTAAGCCGCAAAATACCCCAAGGACTAAGCCGCAAAATACCCCAAGGACTAAGCCGCAAAATACCCCAAGGACTAAGCCGCAAAATACCCCAAGGACTAAGCCGGAAAACCCCAAGGACTAAGCCGCAAAACCAAAAATGTCAATTTAAAGGAGGCCTCCGTAGCTGCTCATACTTCTCTCCTCTTCACTCCTCCAATGCTGCTTCCAGCCAGGGAAGGGAAGCCATGTAAGATTTCTCTGTATCATTTCATAGATGCTTTTGATGGAGAAACACTTTATATTTAGAAAAAACATTGGATTGGAAAATGGAATCCTGCGTTGGACTCTTTGGAAGCCGCTTTGATTTCAGCATCAGACAGTTTATCTCGACTTAATTAAGCGTGATTGTACTTCATACGAGTGTTTACAGCAAACGTTCATCGGGAAAATCAGAGGAGACGCAGATTCCGACGCCGTTACATGCCAAGATAAAGACGCCATCTTATCTCTGAAATGATATCAGTTATTTATATCGCAGCTTTTTTTTTTTTTTTTTCTTCCAGCACGACGGAAAAATTTTTAATTTTTCTGCGTCTGTTTTTCACATCTTAACGTTGATGATTAGAGAGAATCGACGCTTAGAGAAGTACTGGCTGCGCTGATGATCTTCTTTAAAAGATGCTAAATACCTGGCACTCTTGCTGATCCAGTGGCAACAATACCTTTTAAGTCACTGAAGTCGGAACTCCTGATCTCTGTTCTTCTGACCTCTGAAGTCACATGATCAGCATGACAGCCAGATTATTGGCATTTTCTGAGGATGAACATGGCAGCCTATGTAGGTTTTCTGTAAAATGCAACTTTATGGGCAGCACAGTGGCTAAATGGTTAGCACTTCCGCCTGGCAGTACTCGGGTCAATGGTTCGAATCCAAACCATAGCACCACCTGCCTGGAGTTTGCATGTTCTCCCTGTGCATGCGTGGGTTTCCTCCGGGTACTCAGGTTTCCTCCCACACTCCAAAGACATGCTGGTAGGTGAATTGGCTCCTGTCTAAATTGTCCCTAGTATGTGTATGTATGAATGTGAGTTAGGGACCTTAGATTGTACGCCCCTTGAGGGTTAGGGACTGATGTGAATGTACAATATATATGTAAAGCGCTGCGTAAATTGATGGCGATATAAAAGTACCTGAAATAAATAAAAATAAATCAAATATAAAAAAAAAATTCCTGGGACTCTCAAGCACTTTCAAAGAAATTCTATCTACTTATCTATCTATCCAAGGATCTTCTGGATGGTCATGTGACGTTGTCGGTGTTTCCTCTGTAGTTGGTCTTTTTTTTCTGCGCAGAATGGAACACAGACAATGATGTGTGATCGTCATGCAATTATAGTCTGAATTAGTGCCAAGTGATGACATAGTCCCAGGGGGCAGGTCCATGACAGCCTATGCTCAGAGGAAGCCGGTTTAATGCCTCTGGTGGCAGAAAAGAAGTACTGTGGGCAACAACTTCAACTTAGAAAAGCCTGTCCACTGCCAGCACACTACAAAGTGGGACCATCAGCAAGAAGCTTGGTGAGGGGACAACTGTTGGAGCGATTATTCGCAAACGGAAGAAATACAAATAGCCATGAATCGCCCTCGGTCTTGAGCTCCATGCAGGATTTCACCTCATGGGGTAAGGATGATCACAAGAAAAGTGAGGGATCAGCCCAGAACCACATGGGAAGACTTGTGAATGATCTCAAGGCAGTTGGGACCACAGATCCCAAACAAACCCCTGGTAATACAATACGCCGCCATGGATTGAAATCCTGCAGCATCCGCAAGGTCCCCCCTCCTCAAGAAGACACATGTCCAGGCCTGTCTGAAGTTTGCCAATGAACAGCTCAATGATTCAGAGAAGGATTGGGAGAAAGTGCTGTGGTCAGAGGAGACCAAAATTGAGCTCTTTGGCAGTAACTCGACTTGCCGTGTTTGGAGGAAGGAAAATGCTGGCTATGACCCTAAGACCACCATCCCTACAGTCAAGCACGGAGGTGGAAACATTATGCTTTGGGGCTGTTTCTCTGCTAAAGGTACAGGCCGCCTTTGTCACATTGAGGGGCCAATGGACGGGGCCATGTATAGTAAAATCTTGGGTGAGAACCTTGTTCACTCAGCCAGAACACTGAAGATGGATCGTGGATGGGTCTTCGAGCATGACACTGACCCAGAACATACCGCCATGGAAACAAAGGAGTGGCTCAAGGAGAAGCGCACATTAAGGTCATGGAGTGGCCTAGCCAGTCTCCAGATCTTAATCCTATAGAAAAGTTATGGAGGAGCTGAAACTTCGAGTTGCCAAGTGACAGCCAAGAAACCTTAAGTATTTAGAGAAGATCTGAAAAGAAGAGTGGACCAAAATCCCTCCTGAGATGTGTGCGAACCTAGAAACCAAGTACAAGAAACGTTTTACCTCTGTGCTCGCCATTAAGGGTTTCAAGTCATGTTTTGCTTGGGGATCAAATACTTATTTTACTCACTTAACTGCAACTCAACTTATAACATTTGTATTGTGTTTTTTTTTTTTTTTTGGTTGATATCTGTCTCTATCATTTAAAACACACCTATTATATAAATAATAGACCCTTCATTTGTTTGTAAGTGGGCAAACTTACACAATCTTCAGGAGATCAAATAATTATTTTTCCCACTGTACTGGCAGGGGACAGGCTTTTATACTCAGACTGTGGCTGTTTTCTAGGACCCATTTAACACTTCAATGTTCTTATCTGTTGCCCATTGGGTCACGCCTTAAAGTGCGTTAAATGGGCTGCCAATGCTTAAGAATAAATGAATAAACAGACATGCAGCATTTTTCCGACACAGCATACCAGACTGCACAGTGAATTGTGGTGCCCTACAACGCATGTGCTTTGGAGCTGCATTGCCTTGGTGCTTTTATGTTTCAATATTTTTATTGAAAGATTTCAGTATAAAACAGGGTACGATAATACAGTTCACGGTCAAGTACATCAATACATTTTGTGTGAAATAAATTCCCCACCATTTGGCTGGGGACCTTATACACGTGAGTCGCATTGACCTGAGAGGTATGCTCGGTTTGGTGTGAACTGTATATGGGTTAGCATGTTATATAGAGGGGGTAAGGAACAAGGATGGGGAGGGTAAGGAACAAGGATGGGGAGGGTAAGGCGGGGAGGAGGGGAAGGTGGTGAAAGCACCAGTCAAGGGTAAAGGGTCTTAGTATTATATATTTAATTTATCAGCATTTTAAGGAACAGTTTGGGTTCTGTAGTCATCGAGACCATTGGTGTTTGTAGCCTTGGTGCTTTTGAGTGCCATTCTAAATGAATGACACTGGATCACAAAAGTGGATGGCACTCCTTTGGTTTTGATGCACCTAGAATATATTTAGCAATATTTAACTGATAGGGTTAGCCGGGCTGGTTCACAAGATGGGTCTTGAGATGACAGTAGAGCCACTAGAAGGCCAGGCTGTGTCATCCAAGTGAGGTCTACAGGAGAAATGCTGATAGGTGACTGGTGTGTGTATAGAACCAGGAGGCCGCTTCTCTGATTATGAGCGGATGATTTACATATTGCCCCTGGAGAGCCGTTATAAGATCTCTGTAAGTAATAATTATTTCAAGAGGATGTCTGGGTTTGTGAAAGAACAGGAATTTGTCTTTAGTTATCAGCAGATGGATCCATCACGATTGAGTGAGAAAAACTAATGATGCTTTGTTAAGGCCTCTGTTTCCTTATTATTAATGTAATCTCTGCAATTATAGATTACAGCCCAACTGCAGGAAATGATCATTCTACAACATGGCTGGATGGAATTTTATAATCCGTTACTTATTTGTTATGAACGTGGCAGTTGATGGAGCGAATCATATCTGGGGGTGACCACAAGCCCCCCCAACATGGCCCCCAGTTCTTGATGCCTTAAACGTTTGTATTAGAAAGGGAAAGTTGAAGACTGGGAATGAGTTGGGTTCAGTCCAAACCCATTTGGAAGAACCCACGATAGCATTCTAGCTGGCCCAATCTGTTGCGGCCGAGGCACTCCTACCCCACTGTTACATGTACACATAGGGTTGAGGATGCTAACCATACAATTTACGTGGTATACTTGGACAGAGGGGTGGCTGTGGACGTGGTATGCTTGGACAGAGGGGTGGTTGTGGACGTGGTATACTTGAACAGAGGGGTGGCTGTGGACGTGGTATGCTTGGACAGAGGGGTGGTTGTGACGTGGTATACTTGGACAGAGGGGTGGTTGTGGACGTGGTATACTTGGACAGAGGGGTGGCTGTGACAGGGTTGTGGACAGTGACGGTGGATACTTGAACAGAGGGGTGACGGTGGACGTGGTATACTTGGACAGAGGAGTGGCGGTGGACGTGGTATACTTGGACAGAGGAGTGACGGTGGACGTGGTACACTTAGAGCCACATGGCCATGTAATCATATTAGGTCAATGATGTCATGACCATTTTGCCCCTTTTAGGTGGCAGCTGATTGGGCCGGCATGAAGGCTGTTATGTGACTGCTTCCTACGAGTTTTGCCAAACTGGGTTTGGGCCATGTTCAGACTGAACCCCGCTCATCCCTGGTTAGGACCTTTGTCAGGCTTTCTCTTCAGTCTGTGACCCCATTGGGGTCCCCCTATTCCAGATGCATGAAGTAAGTGGAAACCTCCCCAGCCAAGGGATGAAAATCTTTACCAAGTAATTATAGACCTGTTAGTTTATCTTCTATAGTTGGGAAGATACTGGAGAGTTTAATAAAAGACCACATAGAGGAGTTCTTGTTGGAAAAAAAATATTTTAAGCAACAGACAGCATGGATTCATGAAAGACAGAAGTTGTCAAATCTGATTTCTTTTTATGAGGAGGTGAGTAAAACCTTGGACAGAGGGGAGGCTGTGGAGGTGGTTTAGCAACACTTTAAGGGGGTATATGATCACCATGTATAATACATAAGGGGGGATATGATCTCCATGTATAATACATAAGGGGGGATATGATCTCCATGTATAATACATAAGGGGGGATATGATCTCCATGTATAATACATAAGGGGGGATATGATCTCCATGTATAATACATAAGGGGGGATATGATCTCCATGTATAATACATAAGGGGGGGATATGATCTCCATGTATGATACATAAGGGGGATATGATCACCATGTATGATACATAAGGGGGGATATGATCACCATGTATAATACATAAGGGGGGGGGGATATGATCTCCATGTATAATACATAATGGGGGAAATGAGCTCCATGTATAATACATAAGGGGGGATATGATCACCATGTATGATACATAAGGGGGATATGATCACCATGTATGATACATAAGGGGGGGGATATGATCACCATGTATGAATACATAAGGGGGGGATATGATCACCATGTATGATACATAAGGGGGGATATGATCTCCATGTATGATACATAAGGGGGATATGATCACCATGTATGATACATAAGGGGGGATATGATCTCCATGTATGATACATAAGGGGGATATGATCTCCATGTATAATACATAAGGGGGATATGATCTCCATGTATGATACATAAGGGGGGATATGATCTCCATGTATGATACATAAGGGGGGATATGATCTCCATGTATAATACATAAGGGGGGATATGATCTCCATGTATAATACATAAGGGGGGATATGATCTCCATGTATAATACATAAGGGGGGATATGATCTCCATGTATGATACATAAGGGGGATATGATCACCATGTATGATACATAAGGGGGGATATGATCTCCATGTATAATACATAAGGGGGGGATATGATCTCCATGTATGATACATAAGGGGGGATATGATCTCCATGTATAATACATAAGGGGGATATGATCTCCATGTATAATACATAAGGGGGGATATGATCACCATGTATGATACATAAGGGGGGATATGATCACCATGTATAATACATAAGGGGGGGGGGATATGATCTCCATGTATAATACATAAGGGGGGATATGATCACCATTTATGATACATAAGGGGGGGATATGATCACCATGTATGATACATAAGGGGGATATGATCACCATGTATGATACATAAGGGGGGATATGATCTCCATGTATGATACATAAGGGGGGATATGATCTCCATGTATGATACATAAGGGGGATATGATCTCCATGTATAATACATAAGGGGGATATGATCTCCATGTATGATACATAAGGGGGATATGATCTCACATGTATGATACATAAGGGGGGATATGATCTCCATGTATGATACATAAGGGGGATATGATCTCCATGTATGATACATAAGGGGGGATATGATCTCCATGTATGATACATAAGGGGGATATGATCACCATGTATGATACATAAGGGGGGATATGATCTCCATGTATAATACATAAGGGGGGATATGATCTCCATGTATGATACATAAGGGGGATATGATCTCCATGTATGATACATAAGGGGGGATATGATCTCCATGTATGATACATAAGGGGGATATATGATCCATGTATGATACATAAGGGGGGATATGATCTCCATGTATAATACATAAGGGGGGATATGATCTCCATGTATGATACATAAGGGGGATATGATCTCCATGTATGATACATAAGGGGGGATATGATCTCCATGTATGATACATAAGGGGGATATGATCTCCATGTATGAATGATACATAAGGGGGATATGATCTCCATGTATGATACATAAGGGGGGTATATGATCTCCATGTATGATACATAAGGGGGATATGATCTCCATGTATGATACATAAGGGGGGATATGATCACCATGTATAATACATAAGGGGGGGGGGGATATGATCTCCATGTATAATACATAAGGGGGATATGATCTCCATGTATAATACATAAGGGGGGGGGGGGATATGATCTCCATGTATAAATACATAAGGGGGATATGATCTCCATGTATAATACATAAGGGGGGATATGATCACCATGTATAATACATAAGGGGGGATATGATCTCCATGTATAATACATAAGGGGGGATATGATCTCCATGTATAATACATAAGGGAGGATATGATCTCCATGTATAATACATAAGGGGGGATATGATCTCCATGTATAATACATAAGGGGGGATATGATCTCCATGTATAATACATAAGGGGGGATATGATCTCCATGTATAATACATAAGGGGGATATGATCTCCATGTATAATACATAAGGGGGGATATGATCTCCATGTATAAATACATCAGTGGTTCATATAGTGAACTCGGTGTAGAGTTATTCACCCTGAGGTCATCACAGAGGACAAGGGGGCGCTCTTTATGTCTGGAGGAAAAGAAATTTAATCTCCAAACACGGAAAGGTTTCTTCACAGTGAGAGCTGTGAAAATGTGGAATAGACTCCCTCAAGAGTTGGTTGTGGCCAGCTCAGTGGATTGCTGTAGGAAAGTCCTGGATTCTTTCTTGGATACACAGAATATAACTGGATATAACATTTATAGGTAAAGTTGATCCAGGGAATATCCGATTGCCTCTCGGGGTATACTTTGGATTCAGATGGATTGTAGCCATGTAGACCATATGTTGTCTTATGTAGTAGGACAGCCTACCCGTCAATGCCAGTTGGTACATTTGGGGAGCATTTTCGATAGCTGAGCACCAGTCAGCAGGATGGGGTGGGAGATTTCAATTTTTGTATGAGCAAGGAGCTTTTATTATAGCAGGATACATAGAAGAGAAAGAGTTTAACATGTTTCTGGTTGACAAGACTGCCAATTGGCTGCTACTATGGTCTTCTCTTGTCCCCAATAGTCAAAGACATGAGGCCACCACTAGACCATATGGTAAAAGGGGCGAAGTTCAAACTGATTTTTCTTACAAATGGGGGGGGGGGGGGGGGGAAAGTTGGGTAATGCGATCTCTGTGGAGTGTAATATATTCTATGAAGAAATTTCAGCCGGAACAGATTGGTCACTGGCAGAGATCGTCCGTTTAATATATTTTGTTTCTGGTCAAAGGTTCAGTAAATGTTGGATATCATTAAGATGTTGGTGATTTAATTAGTCTGATTTTTGGTCTGATTTTTTTTCTGGATTACACTGTTCAACAGGTAAAAAGTTTTGGGCATAAAATTAGCTAATCTTACATAATTTTGGGGTGCTGAAAACGAAAATGACCCTAAAAAATGTTGATTGGCTCTAGTTTCCTAGATTTCTAGTATCTAATGACGTAAGCCATTCAAAATTATGATGCAACTTCAGCTGCATATTGCGCAATTGATACTGGTGACCAATAGAAAATTGCATGTATACTGAGATGATTCAATATTAGCATTTAATTGCATCACTTCACTGCATAAAAGCTGCAGTATCTGTAGCTGATTGTAGTTGGACAGCGTCTTTACATTTCGTTTTATGCTTATATAGGCTACTCAGTAATGCCTCGAACTTGTGTGAATAAAGCAGATCATTTCTGCTATATCTGCGGTGAAAGAACTTTTATCTCACAAAAAAGGAGGATAACAGGAATGATTAAGAAAGCCTACAACTTGTATTTTGGCTGCAAGATAGGAGACCAGGACAAGAGCTGGGCACCACATATATGCTGCAATTCTTGTGGGACGGCACTGGAGCAATGGTTGAATGGAAAAAAGGCATCTATGCCTTTCGCTGTGCCAATGATTTGGAGAGAGCCAACAGATCATGTTAGTAATTGTTACTTTTGTATGGTGCCTCCAATTGTAAAAGGGCTAAATAAGAAGAAAAAGTTATCTGTGCACTATCCAAATATTCCATCGGCAATACGTCCAGTTCCTCATGGAGAGGGGCTACCAATTCCTAAAGCACCAGAATCCTTCGTGGTTGAGTCAAGTGAGGAAGAACCTGAAGCGTGTAGTCACGTGCAGTTGTAAGAGATAGCCCTTTCCTCAAATACAAGAGAAAAGCCAAGAGAAGCAAAACCGACACAAACTGAAGACAAAACTAGTGAGAATCCTAAGTATTAAAATGATTCAACTTAGCTTATGGCTATAATTTTTCTTGGTAATCCTATGCAATATATTATGCCATTTAGGCTTTGTTATGTAGTCAATATCACTTGCTTTATATTTGTGGAAAGACATCTATCTATATAATTATTGTGCATTATGTAGTCATTACGCCTATAGTAGAAAACTTTCCGTTTTACAGAAAAACTAGAGCCAATTGACAAATTTCATTGTTATATTTTGAACTCAGAATGTGAAATTCATTAAGAAATGGATCCTTTTGTTTCCAAAACTGGCAAAAAATAAAAATTTGTTGAACAGTGTTATCCATCAAAATGATTCACCCGTGTACTCTATTGTGTTTCAGATTTGCTGGTGGATGGAAAGCCATGTGACTACGACATCATCGCGGACTGTAAGGTCGGAGACCCCATACATCTGGAGGTGAGACTGACCAATCGCAGTAACAGCTCAGTGGGTCCATTTGCCCTGACGGTGATCCCGTACCAAGATTACCAGAACGGAGTCCATAACTACGACCTGAAAAACATTGTCACCTTCGTCGGCTCCAACACCTTCTACATTAATTCTGTAAGTATACAATCCGCGGGGATTTAGTCCATCGTATTACTGAGGACTTTATCGATGGTCCTTGTGTGCACACACACTGCACCTTGTCAATGAATACTGGAGCAAAGGTGGACTTGTTGCCTGTAGTACCCAGGCTGGCTCCTGTATGTAATGGTTCCACTATTGCTTGATTTTTGTTTTTTAACCCCTTCTCACTCACCCCCAGCATCCCATTAAAAAGTTCTTTACACCTGGGGGAAGGATCAGTGTTCATGTGACCACTATGATTGGCTGTCACATGAATGGCAGCCAGTGCCATTGGCTACCAATTGTTATTTGGGACTGAGAGCCATCTTTGACAGCTTGGTCTCTGTGCTGGGGGCATGCAGTAAGCACAGAAGCAATGGCCGCCCAATGACATACATGTACGGCGTGTGGACATCAGAACTTTTCCAATGATAAATTTAAGTTTAAAGTGTTACTAAACCCACAACAGTCCAATCAGTCTGTAGATGCAGTAAAGCATGCTTGTTATACTCACTG